GCAGGAATTTTGGTGCCCAGAGGGGATGCTGGTATCCCCATGGCCTGAGGGTGTCCTGTCTTGGTCCCCGAGGAGGGAACAGCCCCTGCCTGCTCCTCTGGACTCAGAGCCCACCCTTGCTACCAGATTGCAGGGAAATGGCACATTATTGCTCTGGCCTCCAACTCTGAGAGCTACCTCCGAAAGAAGGACAAGCTGAAGATGGCGATGGCCACCATCACAGTCTTGGGGGAGGGCGACCTGAAGATCTCCTTTGCCATTCCCACGTAAGTGCCAAGCGCTTTTCTCCACGGGCTTCACTGACTGACCTCCTCCCTGGACCTTCACCAGTGGGTGTCCACCCAGGTGCCTCCACCCAGCACCCACCAAAGACCTGGGCAGGGGGTGAGGCAGGGCCACCAGCCCCATGGTTTGAAACAGAGCCTTGGGAGAGCTGTATGGTGGGCACCCCTTATTCAGGGCAGGCCAGGCAGGCTCAGTGCAGCCCCAGCCAGGAGTAGTTCCACCACAGAGCCTGAGGCAGCTCGCTGCTTCCAGCAGGGATGCAGCAGGATGATAAGGGACACTATGATTAAAGCTTTCCCAGCAGGACCAACCTCATCCCACCAGCTCAGAGCATGTCACCCCATGGGGCAATCCTCAGGTGCCAGCACTGTGCCCTGCCAACCCAGGCACCCATTGCTCCAAGGGTGCTAACTGTCCCCCACCTCTGACCACACCATCTCATCCCTGAACAGCAAGTCCCACATTTGGGGTAGCGACCCCAGAGCCAGTGTTCCAGGGGAGGGGAAGGGGGGGGTCACTTCACCCCAGCCAGATCATCCCTTACTGTTTTGCAGCCCAGAGGGATGTAAGAAATCAGAGTCAATCTACAAGCAAACAGGCATCCCGGGTGAATACTACAGCTCTGGTGAGTGGGGGGAGCCTGACCCCTAGGACAGGGCAGAGGCACTTCCTATCATCCCTGTCTGAAGCAGCTGATTGTCCTGGGGTACCTGGCCCTCAGGGGTACCTGTCTGCCTCTCCTGAGATCCTGGGGTGGGACATCCCTCTGTGGCTGGTTGCCAGCTGCATCCCAGGGCTGGTCCATGCCAGGGCTAATGACCATCCAGCATGGTGGATGCCCTGCTCCCTCCCTCTGGGAAGCTGCTCTGGGATAAGACAGACATATTCAGTCCAAGCTTAAAACCTGGGGCAGAGCAGGTTCATTCTGCAATGGGGCTGTGGATGGATGTTCCCAAAGGATGAAGCAAGAATGGTTTCCACCATCCCCAGCCCAAGTGTTAGTCTGACACTGGCTGGGCTACTCCACTGTCTGCAGTGACTGTTCCCAGACCCTCCTGTGTTCACCTTCCTGTTCCTCTGCTCTGCTGTGATCTGTGGGCTCCCCCAGGCTTTCAGAGGAGCCTTAGCAAGAGGAAAAACCAGGAGGGGGAGACCCAGAAGACAGACAGGCTGGGTGGACCTGGCCTTTGGCAGCCTGCATGGGGCTTCATGCTCTTACAGCCCTTTTGCAGTGTGGGATTTCTCAGAAGGAGGTAATTAATTTTTTTGCTTTCCTCCACATCCTTCTGCAGAGAGAGGCAATAAAACAGCACAGGTGGTGGATACTGATGGCAAGACGTACGCAGTTATCTTTGCCTCCAGAGTGAAGAATGGGAGGACCTTGCACATGCTGAGGCTCTACAGTGCGTAGTCAGTGACAGTCTGACGGGGGTGAAAAGTTCGGGGGTCTTGGGGTGCTTCGCAGTGTCCCGAGAGGCCAGGTCCTGCGGGAGAGACCCCCTCCTCACCACTGCCCTCCTTCCCTGGGTGGGGTGCAGGAGCAGGGCTGCTGCATGTCCCCTGTGCAGCAGGGGAAGGGGCAGCAATTTGGGGCTTACAGGGGTGGCTGGGGCTCAGGCTTCTGCGCTGTGCTGGGAGTCCATGGCCTTGGGTAAGTCACTTGGTGAAATGGGGCAAAGAGGGGGGGACCTGCTGCAAGGGGGGGCAGAAGCAGTGGGGATGGGAACCAAGAAAGGAGACACTGTGCTGGTGCCATGACCTGCACTTTGTCTTGTCCCCTGGGAGGGGTGTCTCATGTGCATGGCCACCACCGCTCTCCAAGACCTCCACCACTGCCTCCAGCCTTCTCTCAGGGACCGTCATCCATCCCATCCTCACCTGGGCGCACTCACCAGCTGCCCAGGAGATGCAGGGACAGGCCACAGCCTGGAACTAACTTGTGTCTTTGCCTTTAGGCAGAACCCGGGAGTTGAGCCCCAAAATCACAGCACTGTTCAAGAAGCTTGCAGGGGAGAAGAGCTTCACCGATGAGATGATCAGGATGCTGCCCAGCCAGGGTGAGCAGTCAATACAGGGAGCCAGGACGCACCAGCAGGGACCACCTTGGCCCATCACTGCCACCACTTTGCAGACTGAGCTGGCAGAAGAAAGTGCTGGTAGCAAGAGTTGCTCTGGCTTGGTGCATCATGGCTTTTGCCTTGCTCAAGTTCTTAGAATCATAGAATGCTTTGGTTTGGAAGGGACCTTTAGAG